AATCTACTGGGAAAGAAAAGGAAGAAACAGCTTTTGACAGATTTGAAGCTGACTTCAAATCTGTGTAACTTATGTGTGGCGTCATTTGTAACCAATGATAATAAAAGAAATGAAAATATGAAAACAGTCCATATTAGCAAGATGTGGTTGTAATATCCAACACAAAGACATTTAGGTCCAAAATGATTTGAGACAAAGTTACATTTTGAAGTTAAAAGCCAGGAATATGTTTTACTTTACATGACATATACCAAGATTTGCATTATTATTCTTTTTTTATATTTTTTATCTCTGTCAGCATGTCTTAGCAAAATTAAACAAAACTAGAAATTTCTTTGAAAACACTCCAATTAAGCATGCAGAAAATCAGGTGTGTGTGTGTGTGTGTGTGTGTGTTAACTGCCCTCTGGTAACACTGTATAAACAACGATCAGTTGGTACTAATAAAAATTGAGCTTATTTTCTGCATGCTTGGTTGGAGTGTTTATATATCAACATACTGATTGTCAGCATTGTCACAGACTGAGCTGCCATCAGACTCTCACTGTTCTCCATCAGCTCTCTTAGTCTGGACAAAAACATCTGAGAATTACAGTTTATTATCTGTGCTTTAAATCAGAGTCACTGCTGAATGAAACACAGGTTCCCTTTCAGGTAAACCAGGGACTTTTGAAAATAATTTGAAGATAAAATCCAAAAAGAAAACCACAGTTTGAACAAATTTTACAATATTTTCAAAGTAAGAAGCCATGTGTTTTTTTATTTTTCTTTACTCAAAATCATAAATAAATAAACACAAACGTTCTCTCATCTGAATCAGAAGCCAAAAGAGTTCAAGGATTTACCTTTCAATCAAACAATGTGTAAGTTTCATCTGATGAGCTGCAGATCCACGGACGAACCTTTCTGTTAAAAAAAAAAATAGCGTATCAAAGACAACAACTGTATTTATACTTTCTTCTTCAAAAGAGGATGTTTTTAATTTGGTTGTCAGAGCATGCATGAGCAACTGGAAATGCACACTGATACACTGCAAAAAGGAAAACACATGCTCCACCTTAAAACAAAATCTGAGATTTGTTGTTACAAATAATCAAATTAAGTGTATCCAAATAAACATGTTAAGTTTATTAAGTTGTCATTTTATACAAACTTTAACAAATTAAGCCAGACAAACTTAATCTGATTAATTGTAACAAGCTAGCTCTGTTATTTAAGTTGGATCGATGCAAATGAGCTTTGTTTGGTTTCCGGTCATAAAGAGTGAAGGTTCTTTAATAAATGTAAAAATATAAGGTAATATATAATATAAACTATAGTTTGGTGGCTACCGGTGGTGACAATACATCTGCAGCCTGTCATATCAGACTTATAATTTTCCATACAAGAGGAAATTTCAAAAGTCATCCCACCGTATAAATCAGGTGACAAACACTATTTCACAAATTACTGTTTCTTTACTTCCATACATTTTTTAAGCAATTATTTATTGGAAGACTGTATAGATTTATCGGTAAACATCAACTCTCTCTGAGAGTCAATATGGATTTAGGTCACAAAGATCCACAGCAATAATATTAGAAATCAGCAGGTTGTTCGACAAAAAGACATTTATTCATTTCAAAAACAAAGTTTTTGATACAATTTATCATGACATATTATTCAAGAACTTTAGCCTAGCGCTTTAGTATAAGAGGAGAAGTTCTATATTGAATGAAAAGCTCAACAAAAGGAAACAATTTGTTCAAATGAAGTGGGTGACTTATTGTCATCATGATTGGACAATGTTTATGGTGGCCTGCAGGGGTCAGTATTGAGACCAACACTGTTTATCTTCTGTACAAGAACTGATATTTGTGAGGCTTCAAAAATGATGAACTGACTAAGTGGTTTAATATTAATACATTTTTTAATTTAAATAAAATCATATTTATGTGATTTGGGAGTCATAAAAGTAATAGAGAATTACAAATTATAGATAATGTGAATGTGGAGAAAGTTACTTAGATTATAATTTTTGGGAATGTTGATGTATTGAAGTTTGGGGCAACACTTTGACCATTACACCCAAATCAGAAAATAGCCATCAGAATGGTTCACAAGGGTTTTCTGACCAAACTAATAGTTTACTTATCATTTCCTGTCTTCAGTCACTGCCAGATTAGATAGAATTTCAAGTATTGCAGCTGATGTATGAAGCTAAATTCCTTAGCACATAATATTCAAAAGTCTTTGACTGATAGAGTGGGGATACGGTTATGTGTATATTGTTTAAATTTTGACTTTGAAGCATTTTTGACTCAGAGGGTGCAGAGGAAAAAGATTATTTATGTTAATAACCATAAACCAGGTGAAGGATTGTGATTAAACAAATTCTACTTCTTCATGCTCCTTTACAGACACATTCTCTAAAATATGTGGAGTATTTGTGTCTGTTTATTTTTACAACTACATATAATGAGTATTTCCTGTCTATATAACTTATTAATTTGTATTTATGTTGCATTAATTGATAAACATATAATAAGATTTATTCAAACAGAGGAATACAGAATGTAAGCAGCTTTGATCCTGGTGGAATGCATCACATAATTCATTCATTCATTCATTCATTCATTCATTCATTCATCTTGCGTCAATGAAAAGCATTTAATTAAAAGTGACAAAAAGGATCAACAGATTGAGAGAAGCAGATTCTCTTAAGGTTTGACATGATTATGTAAAAATCTAAAACTCAGTGTTTCATATTTAACAAGGAATCATTATTTTTTCTTCACTTGAGCGTAGAGACGCTCTGGACCCTCTGGACTCTCTGGACCCTCTGGACCCTCTGGACTCTCTGGACCTTCTGGACTCTCTGGACCCTCTGGACTCTCTGGACTCTCTGGACCCTCTGGACCCTCTGGACCCTCTGGACTCTCTGTGGTCTGTGCTGAAGAGTTTTCCGCCGTTGGCACTTTGACCTGAGCGTACACCGTCTCCTGCTCTTCACTCTTCTGCACTGGCAGAGAGGAAGCTTCAGGTGTCTTTTTGATGAAGCTAATTTCCCCATAATTAACTTCCCCTTCTGTTTTGCTGCCTTCTGACATCTGAGCATCATCATCAAAGCCTGTTTGACTCTGTGGGACAAATAAAATGTGTGTTATTCATGGTCATAAACATGACAGCTCACTGCAGTGCTGCATGCAGAAGATGAACGTTTCCTCACCTCAGTCTGTTGTAGATTTGAATGTTTGGACTTAAAACACCTGGAAGACATTAGATTGCAGAAGATTTCTACTGTGTTTCAGGTGATTAACTTGACTTTATGTGAAGCAAACATTAGAAGGTAAACATCAGTTTAGTCACATCAGATTAAATCCTGGTCAAGTTCAGCAATAATTGAAAGACAAACAAGAGGAAATTTTCAGGGATAAAGTTTCAGGTATAAACAAAGTGGATATTAATGGTTTAATATCTACTAAATATAACTAAAAAAAGTTACTTTTTCTTCAAGGTATTAATTTGACACCACATTGGTTATACATTTGTAATATCAGAAATAATTAGTCTAGATAACCAACACGATAATAACCATGGCAACACAGAAAATGAGACAAGTCATCTGAAGCTAAGTATTTTTCACAAATTATCTGTGAACATTCTTCACTTATAAATGACGTTATTTTAATTTTGATTTAATTATCTCTTGAAATTGACATTTTCATTTGCTCAAAAACATGACACACAAAATGTAATTTATTGCAAAAGTCCACTTCAGTGAGATTGGAGTGACTTTCTTATCAATCTAGTTGTGAAGGAAAAACATTTTCTGACATTGCTGAGACTAGGAGGTGAAATCATAGAGGATGTTATTATGATGTTTGTCCATTAGGCTGCAGTGTTTCACAGCTGTTACATCAGTTTCATTCCAATTTTTTCTCCAATTTGTTTAACATTCTGGGATGTTCTTTACATTTTTATTAATCTCAATACTTATCTAAAGTCTGATGTTGCCTGGATCAAACATTCAGCATGAAGAGAGTGGAAAACATATAAAGCAATGCAGAAAATGATAGACTGTGCAGCTTAAATCTTCTGAAAACCTTTGTAATCAGAAACACACCAATTAGAAAGAAATTGCAAAACTGAATCAAAAAACAACCATAAAGATATAAAATATAGATAGAAAATTATCCCTGAGTATCGAAACTTTCCGCAGATGCTGATATGAAAAGAAGCTGTCTGCAAGAAATCATTTCACTGAAAAAATGGAATTACCTGACAAGTGTACAAAGGACACATTGAAAGGCCTAAATAGAAATGGACGGTTGTTCTTTTATAATCCAGGTTTCTGTCAGCATGTTGGACGACCCTCAAACTCTTAATTCAAGCTACAGGATACTGATGGCTGAATTAAGTAAGACATTATCATATAGCTATGCTTCTGACATGATAGTGTTGGGCCTATTTATCACAAACCAGGGGTCAATGATCAGGTTGAACATAAAAAGCTACTGGAATAGGTCATGTCTTCTTGTGAAATGGCTGAAATCGACAAGAAAATAACTCAAAACTCACCAGTAGGAGAGCAGCATCTCTCTTACTGAGAGCCAGACCAACAACATAAATATGATGAAGATGCCGACCTAATCTGTTAAGTCTGACACAAAACTTGTGGGATAACATCACCAATGCTTTATAAAAGACAGAACCGAGAGGCGCTGAGAAACTACTGAAGGCTTTTTCTGTGGCATCATAATATGACCAACTCTCTTCAACACAGATGTGAAGCAGGTCTACTGAAACCTAATCATTTCACTTCGCTCTGCAAACAGCATTCAACATTCTCATTTTAATGGTGATACTCACCAAAAAGACACACCAAGGCAAACAATAACGAGGACGGCCATTGATATTCCCACTGCGATTGCCACTGTCTCAAAGTGTCTGTTGGCTTTTTGATAAGCAAATAAAACAGTCACAAAAAACTTAATAGCTTATGCTAGAAGTGTAAATTTGAACATTTAGGTAAGATTCAGTGGAGATAAAACATTTACCATTAACATTGACAAGGATCACAGAGGATTTTTGTTGACCCAGATCATTTGAAGCCACACAGTGAAACTCTCCTCCCTCTGTAGCATTGAAGTTGTAAACCTGGTCCACAGACACATTAGTGGCTCCATCATTGCTGTTCCTGAACCAGGTGAATCTGGGTGGAGGTTTGGCTCTGCTGGAGCAGCTCAGCTCCACCCAGCTACCTGCTGACACCAAATCTGATGAACTGATGGATGCTGAGGTGTTTCTAGGAGCATCTGAGGAAAATGAGACACATGAACTGTATGGATCACAAACAGCTGAACCATGACATGCTGACAGGATCACTTACATGAAACACTGAGAGTCACTTCTGTCCCTGCTGTCTTGCTTCCACCAATCACAGGATATCTGGCAGAACAGCTGATGTTGTATCCATCATGTGTGTCTGACAGAGTGATGTTCTCCTGGATTTTAATTGTAAAGGTTCCATTTGTGTTTTTCTCTGTTTGTCTGAGAGAGTCTTGTTGGAGAGTCCAGGTGAGTTCAGGAGGTGAGTGTGGACAGGGAGTGAGAGCTGAGCAGGTTACAGTGACAGACTGATGCTCCTTCAGGTCAGAGGGAACATTAATGCTGGGACTCCAAGGAGAATCTGGGGCATAAAATATGAAACATATTATCAGTGTGAGGAAGAACCAGTTTACATAAACATCAAGTATAGTTTTAAAATGTGAATGTTTTACATCATTAATGTTAGACTATTTTAACCTTTGAAAAATAACATTTTTCATGTCATTTGCAATATTATTATACTGATGAAAAACCAAATTACATCTAAAATCCAGGCATTAACCACGAGTAGCTGCTTTTCCATTACAAATGTTCGAAAAACATTTAAACCTCAGTTAATGTCAAAACAACACAAGTCCATAATCGCAGTGCTTTTATTTTGCAGTTTGTGAAATACACTAATTTGAATAACCATAACCTCTATCTTGATCTCTTCTTTGTTTTTAAAGCCTCATTGAGACTTAACAGCTCAGTCTTTGTCTCCTCTAACCATAAATCATTTCTTTGAAAAATATTTGACCTATTATTGGCTTTACATACAAGATTTATAGTTTAGAAAAGTTATTTTGTTTTTATCAACACTGCATTAATCTATTTCGATTTGAAACTTGCATCACTGTGAACAATAACACCATGTTTCTGACAGGATTATACTTTGACAGTTGCAGGATCGATCTTAAAACATCCTTATTTATGTCATCAGAGCTGTTCAGTCTGTTTAAAGCTTTATTACAGCTGAGTGGATTACAAACATTGATCTTTAATATACATCATCATATCTACCATGTTTGATAACAGCAGTGGTCAAATATCAATTGTAATTTCAAAACCATCTAAAAATAATTGTATCCATTTGTGGATCAGAGAAAAACTGCATTCAATTTAAACCTGTGCTCTCAATGCTTGTTTTTCAAATCATTGCAGGAGAAAGATGGAAATCCAGCTTTGAAAAAAGAGCAAATTATAGGTAATAGATAACAAAAATCCAAAGATGGGGTCTGATCAGAATGTGTTCACATTTTTAAAATCACTACTTCTAATGTTATTGATCTACGTTTCTAATGTCAGACACTTTAAGAATCAGACATGATTTGAAACAAGAAGTAACAACATTTACCTTTAATACTAACACAGATCCTTGATGATGTTTCATTTCCCAGATTGTTTTTGGCCACACAGTAAAACTCTCCTTCCTCAGTGACATTGAAGTTGTAATTCTGTATTTCAGACACTTTTATGCCATTCCTGAACCAGGTGAATCTGGGTGGAGGTTTGGCTCTGCTGGAGCAGCTCAGCTCCACCCAGCTACCTGCTGACACCAAACCTGATGGACTGATGGATGCTGAAGTGTTTCTAGGAGCATCTGAGGAAAATGAGACACATGAACTTCATTGATCACAAACAGCTGAACCATGACCTGCTGACAGGATCACTTACATGAGACACTGAGAGTCATTTCTGTCTCTGCTGTCTTGTTTCCTCCAATCACAGGATATCTGGCAGAACATCTGATGTTGTATCCATCATGTGTGTCTGACAGAGTGATGGTCTCCTGGATTTTAGTTGTAAAGGTTCCATCTGTGTTTTTCTCTGTTTGTCTGAGAGAGGCTTGTTGGAGATTCCAGGCGGGATCAGGAGGTGAGTGTGGACAGGGAGTGAAAGCTGAGCAGGTTACAGTGACAGACTGATGCTCCTTCAGGTCAGAGGGAACATTAATGCTGGGACTCTGGGGAGAATCTGGAAGTTAAATTAGATTTAAATCACATTCATTGTACAAAATAAAGATTTGCTTGAATGTGCTCCAAAACTGTTCAATTGTTCCAAGCAAAAGAACTATGACGTCTATATCTGCAACACCCTGAGTCAATATTTCTTAAAGTTAACTGATACTTTCTGGCCTTACATTAATAAAATAATAAATATTTGGAGCATATCTTAATATATTTCCAGAAAAGCTTAATGTAAACATTAAAATGCCACAAACTAATGAATTAAGGATCAAACTGGTCAGCTCTTCTTGCAGTGGCTATAAAAGCATATTGTGACAGAAGGTTTTAAAAGCTACAATTTAAAAAGATTAAATATACTTGTAGTACGCAAGCTTAACAATATAACCAGAACATCTTCATATAATGTCATTATATGGTGAAAATGTTCTTACCTTTAACTTTTATTTGAAGAGGATCAGCACAAGCTGTTCCCTTGTAGTCACCGTTCTCAACTCTGAAGTAATATTTGTCTGCATGACTTGTTTGTAGATCAGGAAACAGAGTGGTGCAGTTTTTCTCTTTCAGGTTTCCAGTCATATTCAGTGAATATTTGTTAATTGACCCACTGCTGTTGAAAATAATGATGCTTGGATTGGCCCCAAAATTTACACCACCTTTCAACCAAACTCCATAGATAGTTTTACTGCTGTCATATCTAGGATCCTCTGTTTCATAGGTACATGGGATTTGCAAACAAGATCCAGTCAGAGCTTCTGTGATATTTGGTGTAATGATGTTGAGGGCTGGTGTTAGATCACCACAGGAATTAGCCAAAGCACCTGAAAACCAGACCAATAATGAACATAAAGATGAAAATCTGCCTGCAGAGAAAGTTCATGATCTATAAACTCCAGTTCAGCTGCAGCTTCTGTCGTGTGGAGACTACAGACAACATGATCAAATATTTTAGACTTGAAGTGATTTACATGAACTCTACCAATGAAAGGAAGTGAATAAAAATCTCACCTGGAAGAAAGAAGACACTCAGTAACATGTTGACTGTCAGCATGTTCTCAGTCAGACTCTGATAGACCTTCATCTGTCAAACTGGAGAAGGTTTCAGAAACAGAAACATTTCAGTTTCTAATCAAAGACATTTTTCAATAAAGCTTTCAGGGAATTAAAACTGATTTACTAGAAAGTAGTCAGGAACATACATTTCCTACTGTGTTACAAAACAATCACATACAACCAATATACATCTTTATGTATAAGTTACATAACATATCCAAAATAGAGTAAAAATAATGACACCGAATTCAACTATTTTAATGACAAGAAGTTAGTTTTCTGTTTTAAAAGTTGCAAAATATGTAAACTTCATAAAATGTTCTTACCTGGTCAATCACCAGCTGTATAAAGGCTGTAAATTTCAGTCGATGAGCAAAGATCTAAAAAGCTCCTGCTCTAGTCGATGTATGAAATCCTGTAACCTGAGTCATTCTTCCTCTTTGTAAAAGAGGATGTTGGCTACAGAATTTGCTTTTCTGGTGTGATTAACTGAATATGTCCATAAACTACCTCAGTGATGTCCACTATGTGTAGAATAACAGTTCTGGTTTGTGGATGAGGAACAGGTCAGGGATTTTATGAAGAAGACTAGATTTTTTTAGTTTTCACAAGTTTAGTTGTTTACAGTGTTTATTATAAAATATATTTAAAAAAATTACAGTTAGGTAAAACATAATTGACATTTTCCTTCAGTCATTTTTCTTTATTATCCAGCACCATAATACAATAATTATTCCTGAAAAGTTAGGATTTTAATGAATTGGCAATCAACAGTAATGTTGATTTACTGCTGAAAAACTAATGAAAAATAACCAGAACTTAATGATGGTCCTGCAGCTGAGAAAGATTAATACGGTCATGACTTTAATGATCCACTGAGCTTTTGTTTCAGTTTGTAGTTTTTTTGTTGTTGTTGTTGTTTTTGTTTGTTTTCAGAGTTTCTTTGTTGTTTATCCATCATCACATCTTTCCATAATTCTCTTCATTTCTCTCTGGGCATTATTCTTATTCCTTTGCATTTAGTGTTTCAGTTTATTGCTGTGATCTTTTCAGTGTTGTTTTCCTCTTGATGTGGAGTTTCTTTGAGTGTCTCATTGTGTTCATCATCAGCAGTAACAGGAACACTGATCAACATTTTTGATCTTCATTTGCTTGATGATTATAAATGACGGCATTTGACAAAACTGAATATTTATTGTTTGTTTCACAATTGATTGCAGTATGATATGTTTTATGATTTAAAATACTTTGAACTGTCTTGCTGCTGAAATGTCCTTTGCAAGTCAACTTTACTTGATCACGTCTCTCCTTTTGTTTTCCTGTTGTTTTCTGCCACAGCTGTTCTACATCACCTCTGATTAGTTCCTTGTTTTCCACTTCTGCCTCAGTATTTAAGCTGTTTTTTGTTTTTGTTCACTGTCAGATTCTTCCATCATACCTCATTTTGACAACATTGTATATTTGTTAATATGCACTGTCCCATTTGAATAATTAAACTCAATTAAATCAATCATGACTCTGGCTCTTACCAGCTTCATCAGAAAATTAAGCACCAATGATCAGTTTTATTTATTGTTTCAAAGAATCTTTACAGAAAGTGATAAAGCTAATGAATTACATCTTAAGTGCAAATTTAAAAAAAGAAAGAAAAGACATGGAAAAAAACACCAAAAATGCAAAAAGAGAACATATGCAGCAAGAACAAAAACAAGAAGTGTTCAGAACTACGCACAACAAATTCTGAAACCTGTCACAGATAAGTGATGAAAGCATTATGTCCTGTTACACAAGAGTACTAAACTTCATTCTGCATGTATTACATCAACACCTTTATGAAAGCATGATGAAGAAATCATCCTGTGTCCACACCTTTTAGCTATTGCTGTAACTGCAACAATACTTTGTACAACATCCGACACAGAATTTTCCGTTCAGGGAAATGTGAGAATTAAAAACCTTAGGCAAAGAGTAAAGCTTTTCAACCTCACATTATGGTATATATCACATTAATGTTTTTGCTGACAGTAAAAACATGGAGTGCAATTATTAAAACTAACTTTTAAAAACAACCCACTTCTATTCATAAGCAGAAATTTTACATTCAGCAGGACTTCTGCTTCACACATACATCCTCTTTATTTTGTAAAAATTTCAGATCTCTTTTATAACTCAGTGATCCACCAAAGGATTAGTATTTACTTCATTAGTATCACACTTCATTGCCAAAAAAAAGATAATAATAATAATAATAATAATAAGGGATTTCTAAACCAAAATAAATGGTGACATGATGGACTGGTGACGCGTCCACAGTGTATCCAGCATTTCACCAACTGCCTTTGCAGATAGAAATAAGCTTCTTGAAACACAGACATTAATTATTGGACAGATAAACTGGGTAGATAGAAATGAATGCTCTCTCTGAAAAAAGCCTTGGCATCTTTGCATCTTCCTGGTCTCCTTGTGGCTCATGATGCTGTAGTCGCCATCACACTGTTGACATAGGTTGGTTCTTCTGTTTCCTGTAGACAGAAAAAACAAAATGTATTTTACAGTAGTACTTGAGCTCAAACTGTTTCAGAGGAAATAAAGGTTGGTCTCTTTATTTTCAGTCTCACTGGATTCCCAACTAAAATCACAAGATATTATATGTGTCCTTTAATGAGATGCTAAGTTGTA